GTGGGTGTGGGTGTGGGTGTGGTTGGTCTTGCTGCCGTGGCCTGTCAACATACGGCTGAATTCATTGCGAGCCAAGTGCCGGAGTCAAGCAGCTGCAGCTTAAATACGTTATACGTCTTCTCAGAACACTGTAATCACATTTCTTGTTCTCGTCAGTTCATGACGTCACCCCTAGCACACTTTCTTCCCAGCCTATGCAATCGGAAACGGACAACTACTGGCAACCTCCCCTGTCGCTGGGCTCTGCCGTGCAACAACAGCTGCACGCCTCGTAGTCGCCGAACATAGGAGGCTTGCCCTGCGACAGTGGCGGACAGTGTTCAGTTCGGGGAAGCTTGCGGCGGTTCTCAAACCATCACCCACTCCCTGCAGAGAACTCCTGGACCAACTGACTACGGCTTCCTTCGGAAGGCGAAGCTTCGGTAGCTCTCCCCTCTCTTCTTTGAAGATGGTGGGCCAGCAGCGAAACGGTGGAGGCCGTCACGTGTCTGCGAGCTCTACCTAGAGCCTCCGAGAGATGTCCGTAACTTGGCGTGGATGCATCACTTCCCTCAAATAGTCTGCAGCTTCTTCCATGCCCTCGAATCTGGCCACATCAAGTGCAGTGTCGCCTGCACTATCGACGGCTCGAGGATCTGCGTTTAGCTCGAGCAAGGCTGCAAGAATTTCCACGTAGCCGTGGTCAGCCGCCTTGTGCAGAGGAGTCCTTTGTTTCTTGTCTACTGCCTTTGGATCTGCTCGGCTCTCCACCAGGAGCCTCACAGTCTGCTCGCGCCCCCACTCTGCCGCGACATGGAGCACTTTGCCTTCTGCTTCGCCGCAGGTTTGGTGCAGGTTTGCTCGCAGAGACAGCATCATCCGCACACAGCCATCGTGCCCTCCCCCACTCGCCACTAACAGAGCGGTGTCGTCAGCCTCCGTCCTTATCCAAGGGTCTGCACGGTAACTAAGCAAAAGCCGGCCAACGTCTTCGTATCCGCACGCCATGGCAGCGAAGAAGGCAGTCTTTCCGCCATCGCAGGTCTGGTTTGGCAAGGCTTTGTGTCTGAGTAGAAGATCCACACAGTCCAGTTGGCCACAGAAGCTTGCAGAGAAAAGCGGAGAAAAGGGGCCACCGCGAGAGATGACGTGCTCGGCATGAGGCAGCATGGTCTGCAATGCTGCAACATTTCCACCGATGCATGCTGCAATCAGCATGACCTCGTGGACCTTCGCAGCACGGCTAAGGAATATTTGGCAGCACTCGGAGCTGCCACTGAATGCCGCCATGAAAAGTCCATTCGGAATAGTCTTGGCTTCCCACGGTACCTTGTCGAACTGCCATAGGTCTAAGTCGCAAGACAGGTCTGCACCCCACGCAAGCAAGCGGACCAGGGCCTCGTGATGACCTGCAAGCAGTGAACTGCAATCAAAGCCTACTTGCGGCTCTCCGACAAAACAGAGGATGTATTCCATGTGCTCCGACTCTACGGAACATTTCTATTGGCTAGATTCGGCTAGATTCCAGCAACTCGGTTTCAGGGACCTGTCGCTGCTGAGAGCATCCAGGGCGTAAGGCCATTCCGGTCGCGAGCCTTAGATTGCAGCGGAAATTGATGCTTTGCTGTGTTGAACACATGCGCGCGTAGGTTCTCGTCACCACAACATGTCTGGCAATCTCCAAACCACTCCCAAGTCCGTCAATGCCAAACTAAAGCGGCGTTGACATCCATCCGCGCAGTGATGAGGAGATCGATGACGTCCACATGCCTGCAGTGTAGGTCGGCTGGGCCCACCTATGCTGTAGCAGTTGCCAGAATCACACAAGGATCACGACGCAGAACCGCCAATGGCGCAATGCCGGGCCCTGACTCAGAGGCTTGTACTAGGACTCAAATCACCCAACCCTTCCTCGGTAGCATCGCATGTCTGTGTGGTGATGCACACGCTCCGCACCACACCCTCAAGCAGAAAATCGTCTGGCAAGCTGCTGTGCATACTCTTCTTCCCACCCCGTCGTACCAGAACAGTTTACCCCGTGCCTGCCTGTTGTATGCGGCCGCGACATGGAGGGGAGTCTGCCCCAAGGAGTTGCAGCACGCCAGATCCTTCCAAGTACAGGCGCTCGAGAAACAGGTCAAAGCAAAACTGTAAGGTCGCCATGCTGTGCCTCCGCAGCTGCCGCTGTCAGAGCCAGCCGCACCTTCTTCAGACTTGCGCTTCACAGTGAGATCGAGAGGCTTCAACGGCGTCAACGTAGGGCGCAGGGGTTCAGCCCTTGTGCTCAAGCCAAGACACCGCACTACCTCAAGTATCCTCAGGTTGTTGCCCTATACCCGTTCGATGCACCTCAGGTGGCTCCTTCCTTTGGGCCACGCAATGCAGCGTAGTCCTGCCCTCGAAGGTGACCTCAAAGCTCCAGCAACAGAATGCAACAGCAATGATTGCGTGTGTCGGACACTGAGTACAGTCGGTTTAGGTTGCAGTCGGAACACAAGGAAGATAAATAAGAATCCAGCTTCAACCGCTTCTCGTCGACAGTATGGTGACGAGTTGAAACGTGCTTTCACAGCCAACCGCACCAAAGCTTCCAGCTGCGTGTCAAGAAGTTCCAAGAAAAAACTCTCCGCTGGCAAGGTGCAAGCATCTCACCGAGCCGGACGAGGCGAAAGAAGCGAGGCTTCAGCTCCTGGGCATCAAGAGCTGAGACAAACCTGCTTGAACGGAGACTTAAACGCCCCAGCGGAGGTTCTTGGAACTCCCACGGCAGCAATGCTCAGGATAACTAGCAGGAGACTCGGGCACATTGCCCAAAAACCCACAAAGATGTTGCCACACCGATGTTGTCAACAGCTCGGAGAAGATAGGAGGGCTTGTGACGGTACCAGGGGAATAGCTTCCAAGTTTCCGGAATTGGGGTCATGCCAATATTGCTGCACCCGGGAATACGGAAGAGAGATTTCATTAGCACGCCCAGGACGTCCAACACCTATGCTGCATATGACACTGCTAGCCTCATTGCTGGCCTCATCGGCCCAAGGCACTTCCAGCACACGTGCCTGGATTTCAGTTCTAGGAAGCTTCAAGTATGTATATCTGATTTGAGCTGTCTTCGAGCAAGCTGCAGGAGCATCCATGGCAAGCTGCTCCCCACCACGCCTCCTTGCCAGTCAGAGAAAGCAGAATCGCAAAAGCACAGCGAGTGATGGAACAGCCGACCGATCGATGACCCGCAGCGGCCCTGGACACTTCGCCACTGCGTCAACATACTGATCCCACAAATGAAATCTTCCCAGTTGTGTCAACCATGAAAAAACACGGAAGACAGCTCAAAGAAAAGCAGTGCCTGAAGGCCCACGCTAGCAGTGACATGACGTGCAGACCGAACTGCTCCAGGCCAACGGCCTGTCAGGGGCGCACGGGCACAGAACGCATGGGACATAACATCGCAACACAAGGCAAGTTCCTCGAGGATGACAGGCCTTGTCCACCTCCGCCATGATCATACAACGGTCCTGCTCCTGGCTGGCCTTTGCGGTCGCCGGGTCGATCTCCAAAACCCTCTTGGTCAAAGTTAAAAGATCCTGTCGCTGTTGCCCGAATGGCTCATCGCTGCCGAAGGTTAGCACACCATTGTCGGTAGCGATGTGAAATTTCTTCTTCAGGGCGTGCGCACGGAGCACTTCGTAGAGGCACCATATGCGCTGCAATGGAGTGGCATCCGGATCCATGATCATTACCACGTGCGTGCAGGATGGGGCTGCAAGCGCTCGCTCAAAGGGGCTCTCTTGTAACGTGCTTCCCAAATTCACCTCCCATTGCCGATTAGCGAAGGAACAGACCCAGAAGGCCAGATTTGCTCCAGGATCAGAATTCGCCTCCGGTGTGTTGCTGGCGTCAGTAAAATCTGAGGAGGCTTGGGACATGCAGGTGCCGGCAAAGAGCTGAAGAGCTCTCACGAAACAAACGAACTCCTCACCCCACCAGTGGCTCACAAAGACCTGGGGTGCCAAGGGCTCCAGGAGCTCTGCGTACGACACGAGACGTGCCTTGGTAAGAGGCTTGATGATCGTCTCTACCACGTCGTACATGTTGGGCCGACAGGCACAGCCGGTGTGGGGGTTCCACGTGGCTGTGGAGAGCCAGGCTTTGTGTTCCGTCAACAGCCTTGTGAACTCCTGCAGGGGCACTCCCGACTCTTCGGGAGCTCGAGCTGCGGGCGGCGTGTCCACGAGTGCTTTGAAGAGCCATTGCACGAAAGGGAGAAGCGGCAGTTTCTCGGCCTCGGACCCAGCAAAGGCCTTGTAAAGCAGTGACACTTCCGAGCTCGAAATCCCTTGCAGCAGCACCTGGAGACCAGACTCGTCCATGAAGTCGCCATGCTTGGCAGTCCAGGCTTCGCAACGAGCGAGGACGGCTTCGGACATGTCGCTGACCGGCTCGGGCCCAAGTCCAAAGAGGCAGCTTTCACTCGCCCTGAACACTCTTCAAGATCCCTTTCAACCTCCCGGGCGGAACCATCTCAAGAGTAAACCGACTTCATTCTTCGACTGTGATCCACGTTGTTGTTGAGCTTCATATTCAGTCCCGTGGATTCAAAGCTCTGCCATGATCCATGCGTGACAGGTAACATAAATTCCTTCGAAATCAAGGAGTTGTTGCTCAGGGCTCGTGCTGGCAGCCTGCCAGCTCCAGGAAACTCGAAAATGCGAGCCGCTCACGACCCACAATTTTGCTGCAAGCAGGCCATGAGAGAATATCGACAGCTACGATGCCAAGACGACAGCTGACAAGCGCAAGTTGCGCAGAACGGCACAGGTCGAGACTTTCGGGTCCATTCCGGCACTTCTTCGGCCTTACTCATTCTCTCTATGAAATACTTGAAGATTCACAGAAGCACGTGGTTTCTTCTTTTCCCGCCGCCAGGTTTTGAACCCTGGGTTGCAGAGCAACTTTCATGAACTTACCGCAGGCGTATCTCAAAAATGTGAGGGCTACAGCTCACGCAAGTTTCACCGTCAAGACACTTAAGCGTACTGCTGTGGTGCCGGAAGATGCTGGGCCCATCACACCCGAACCACTCGCAGCGCCTGACCGGAATGAGGGCAAAAGGCAAGCACCTCGGCTGTGATGGTAATCCAAGAGCGAGTTCTCTTTGCAGCATGTGGTGGACAAAACATAAAACTGCAGCAGCAATGCTAAATGCAGAAGATGCACGCTTCGAAGAACGAGTCCGGCCGCAATCCCTGCCGCAGTACTAGCTCCGTGGGGCGACATTGCCAAGCGCGCGCAGCGCACAAAGAGGAAGACAAAGAGTTGGAGAGGGAGGGGGAGAGAGGGAGAGCCAGAAAGACTGCGTTTCTGTGAGTGTGTAGATGGATTGGCAGGCGGACGGCTACACAGATGGATGGGCGCATAAGCCCATTCAAAAATGAAAATATTGATGGACCACTAAACGTAGAGAGGGCAAAAACCAAAGAGACATGGAACCAAGCACATGGTTAAGATGCTCACATTCAAACATGCAGAAACTCGGCTGTGTTTTTGCAGCTTGTACTGATATGACACAACTCCAGCTCATGAAATGGCTGCAGCACACACACACACACACACCCTGGATCAGGCAATGCCAAGACGAGGGCGCGCACCGCGAACCACCAAAGCCTAAAACCTAAACCTCGGCCCTCAAGACACAAGGCGTCCCTGCAGAACAGGATCACCCACCATTGCAACAAGGCACCCTCGAGGTTTGGTAGTAATCCGCTCCACTCCTGGAAAGCCTCGAGCCCAGAGCTATTCGGCTGAGTCTAAAGCACACCGGAGGCCTGCGTTGACAATATCATGCATAGGATGATACGACACGAAGCCACGAAGCGCAGTTTCCATGACTCCTGGATTCGCCCTTCGCGCTTCACATCGATGCACTGGAACCAGGCAGTGACCATGTCGCCGTACTTTTGCAGCAAGGCATGCTTGAATGTGCCTCGGCTCTTGGGACACGTCTGGGGCCAAACGTGCACATGTCTCCTCGCAGGTATATGAGGCGGAAAGGCAGCAGCACGCGCGATGGGAAGGCTGGAAAACATCGGCTTCTGCAAAGGCACTTGTTGGATTCTGATCCGCACTGAAGCCATTGCATGAGACTCGACGAAACAAGTGGAAAACTTCAAGACAATGTAGGGGCTGGGAAGGCCCCAGGTGACTTGATAGTTCCGCCACGCTGGATGTTTCCACTTTGTCAGCTCTGCAGTGCACAGATTGTTGCTGATGCTGTCCCTCTCCATGAGCACAGTGCACGACAGGAACTCTGCTTATCTCAGCTGCACACCGATGTAATGGCCGACATCTGCGTCAATCTCCATCAACGACACCTGCAGTCGAGCACGGGGCCAAAACACAGCAGTGGCTGTTTAGATTAGCAGATTAGCCGTCAAGCGACCCGGCTGCGGGAAAGCATCGACCACCGCCCCACTCAGGCGAGTGCCATGCCGGTCTTTTTTTCATCTAATTCCGCCCAGAGCCTTATCCAAGCTTTCAGCAAACTAGCAAAGTAGCAAAGTGATCGAAGAATATCGAATGAAGATACGGCACATGTCAAGTTGAGAGCAGAGTTCTGCTGACCACCAGATTTGAAATCCTCTCTTCTCAGGTCCGTGCTTCTTGAAGTTCCCGTGATATCCCATCGCCTGAGACAGAAGAAGATCGCCATCGTGGCCCCCATTGCGGCGTTCGGCATTTAAAAGACTGCAGAACCGAAGGCCCCAACTAGAGCCCACCCAACCCGCTGCTTACCGAGGCCTGCGCACGGCAGGCCTGACAGAACTCTTGGAAAGACAGACGCCCACACCTGTCCTGGCCAAAGCAGGAGACTTCTAAGGTTCAAGGCCCTCAACCGGATATTGATATGATGCTGCAGATGCTGAAGACTTGCCACATATTCCGGAACTCGCGGCTAACTACGATCTGTCTTTTGCCGTTCATCTTACTTGAATGAAAAAGCTGCTTCCTGCTTGCTTTCGCCCGTGCTCGAAATAAGAGTTCCTACACCACGTCGACGAAGTAGGCGGATCTTCTTTGCGAAGGGCAGCATGATTTGGTGGAAAGGTGGTCAAAGTACGTCGCCTAGGTTGGCCTCCCCGAGGAGCGGGGCTGTAATGAGGTAATGCCTGGACAAAAACTTGGATCGATCAGGGCCTGATCGGATAGTCCGCGAATGTCTGGTTCTCCAGACTTGATGTAAAGTTTGGGTTGTCAGGCCACCTGCTCTCTGTATCTCCATCTTTTCTTCGTCTGGATTCTCGTCTTTCTGTTTCTCTCATCTTCAGAGAGAGGCTGGCGGCTGTCCTGGTCCAAAGCTCTCCATCCATGCAGGATCGTCCTCAACAGGATGTCTGCTTGGGCAGGACTGGGCCGAGAGGTTGGGACTCTGCCACGCCATCTCAAGAATCTTTTGTTTACGCAAATACCTTCGAAGTCTGTGGCAGGCACCCGAACTTCTTCTTGAGGTAAGTCCGGAATCCCTCCTTCCCCTGCAGGTAGTGAAAGAATTTCATATCAGAATCCACGGAGCGTGGTGAGATTGCCGATTGGAAAATTAGCACGCAGGAGGTGTGAACGGATGACATGAGTGGCAACGACACCCTGCGATACCTGTTGTGCACAGCATGCAATCATGGACGCACTACACTCTGGTCCAGGGGGTTCGATGTTTCGAAGGACACATATCCCAATCATGCCCGCTTTCAGATTCACATTCAAGGGCTCAGCACGAGCCGAACCTTGGCCCCCCAGAATTCAGCGTCGTCATCTGCGCGGTTCTTCCGCACGAACTCTCGCTGTATCATGGACCTGACATTGCCGGCATGGCCGCGTTCCAGAGTTTGATGTGGGCGAGAGACAACAGCCCCCCCCCCTTTTTCTTGTCACACAAATTCACACAGTCGGCGGGGCGGGTGTCTGTCTACAGTGTTGAGACAATGCCCCTTGCTGTCGAAACGGAGCTCCTGCGGTGCCTCACTGGGCCAGTCGCCGTGGTGTCCTTAATTACTACGATGCTGTCCTCGGCCGACCAGGGCCGGGGCACGAGCTTGCTCTTGGGATTGATGATGTACTCGCCATCCTCCGACCAGCCGATCAAGACCTGGAGCTCGGTGAAAAAAAATGCCAGAAAGAACATGAACAGCCTGAGCCCAAGTTCCCGATGCGACATTTGCGCTGGCCTGCTTCACCGCCCGGTTGACGATCGCTGCAGCCTCGGCGAAGGTCAGAAAGGTAGGGAGCGTCTCCCCTTCAGCAAGGTAATCTTTCAAGTCCATGATGTCCAGCTGATTTCCATCAGGGGAGAGAATATCCTTCAACACTCCATAGTTCACCTCACTGATGGCGACCATCGCAAGCGCTTTCGAAACCAACAGCGTGCTGTTGCACATGTTCTGAATTCCCACTGCAGACAGCTGCTCTTCTGCGGTTTGTGCAGATCTCAACCAGGGGCTGGAACGACTTGTCTTCGTCACGCTCAGCCAGAAGGGATTGCATCTGCAGAACCATGGCCACCGTCTGCTCATCGGCGCGGTCTACCGACTCTACTGTGTTAGCCAACAGGATGATGTAGTCATAGGTCTCCAAGGGTAGATCTCGAAGACGATACATCGCCGTCATGGCGTCACTCGGCGCACTATACACTTTTCGAACCTCTATGTTCTTGAAGTCCTGCTCCCATTTCCTCTGAGCATTCGACACTATTTCGCAGGTCTCCTCTTCGCTGAGGGAACCGTAAAGGTCAACCTGTGACCCTTTTCCACTCATCGAGTCCATGGCAGCCAAGATCGCGCAGCCGCAGTTGCGGGCATTCAGATTGCAAATCAGGGCGCTGATCGTTTCCCCATCGTTGGGATTGGACTCCTTGAAGGTGGCAGGCTTGCGCTCGCCTGCCCAACGTGCATAGTCAAAGTGAGAGGATTCAACCGGCTGGACGGCATCATCGTCGTCCGCCAGGAGGATAATGGAGTCGTCTTGCTGAATCTCCATAGACTTGTCCGGGTTCAGCAAGTACTCGCCATGTCGGACGACACCCAAAGGGACTGTGACAGGAAACCAGAAGGGCAGCTCGAGGAAGCTCTTGCCCACAACACCCAAGTCCTCTGCTCCAGAAACATAGAACTCGTCCCCGCTGAAGCCGGTCAGCTGGTTAAAGACTGAGCATAGGCCCTGATCCTGAACGCCCTGCACCATCATGCGGCCAATGGTTTCGCTAGTGATGATAAAGCTCTTGTCAGGGTACAACTCCTCGGACGAACAGATACTTACATGGCATGTCTGCTTGGATTTACGGTGACCAAAGACCAAAGAGCCCGCTACCAACAGCATGGGCTTGAACGAAGCTCCTGCATGTACTCGCAGTTCGTACTGATGCAGGAGCACAGAGCCACGTAGCCGTTGTTCGGCCAGCCGGACTTGCCCTGACCCTTGAGTGTGAGCAGCACTCCCATCTGTGAAGCATCCGACTCATCCTGTGAGAGCTTGGGATTCCTGAGAAGCAGCAGTACTACAATGAAGTAGCTGGGATCTACAGCTACAGAGCAGGGTCCCGGGTCTTGTCCACTGACTCGCAATCAAGCGTCTCTGGGATCACGATTCGCGCGGCACAATCTGCACCGACCTTCGGGTAGAACATTTGCTGTTGTTTCTGAGACCGGCGGCGTACAGAGGCATGAAGGAAACCGTCCCGTCCCGAGACCTTTTCCGTGCATCCCGGACCTTCCAAAGATCTGTTTTGTCGCAGCACTTCCCACTTCGCACAACAAGCTTCAAATCGCCGAGGTTGGTATTCATGGCGGCAATCTCGTCCTCGACCTCCTGCCGAGTGGGGAATGTGGCTCGCAGATCTACATCCCTCACAGCGCGAATCATTCGGAATCTCCTGTTTCGGTTGGTTGGACAAGATCACCACCGTAGTGGGCTTGTCATCTGCCTCGCAGATCGCGAACTCCTTGCAAGCTGCAGGACTCGGCCCCAACCCCAAAGGTTGAAAACTCTCCGATGGGATGGTCTCCTCAAGAAGTTGCTTCGTCTGCACGGAGTGACCTGACAGAAGGATCGGAGCTCGGGCAAGGACTCAAAGCACAAACTCTTGTAGTTCAAAAAAGCATTCTTGCCGGACGACGCAGATGCGGAACCATAAACCGCAACCTACAACCGGAGTTCCAGACCTCCTACTCAAGAAACATGTCCCTACTTTCCACCTCCCTCAACCTCACATCTGCATGCTTGAGCTTTCTTGAAGCCTCGTCAACCAGCTCATCATCCGAAAAGTAGCAGGCTTCACATGAATTTCCCTTTATACTCAGATGCAAAGCATCTCAACCTATCTTCCAAGCAGACAAGCAGACCTGGCCAATCCAAACAGCCCTACTTCATAAAGTAGGCATGTCGTGCGGTCCTTCCGAGTGTTGCCTTGAACTTTTCGGGGGAAGGTTCCCATGGTGCTGGTGAAAATCATAGCTTTTCATAGCGAAAGGAAGTTCCAAATGTGCCCCTGTACCCCTCAACCCGAAACCCAAAGAACTCCCTCTCACTCTGTAGACCTTGAAGCAACCGTTGGCTTTATTTCCCTGTTTATGAACCCCCTTGCAGATTCGATCAATCTGAACTTCAACTTCCCTGCTTAAGGGCTCGGGGCACCTAGCTGGTCTGCAACCGTTCGGCTCAGTGCACTGACGGTTCCATGTGTCGCTTGCTAAAATCACGTCCTGGAGTCTAAGCCAACCTCTGCAGGATTTACGTGTCATCATGGAGCTCTGTTACCCTTTTCGTGGGGATCCATACAGAGTAGACTTCTACTGTAGCCTCTGTCCGCTGATCCCATGAGCTTCCAATTTGTCGTGTCACTATGCTACATACCTAAATACAACAGATACATTGTGTTTAACGTAACACATGTGTGTCCACATTTGTGCACATATATATATATATATTATATTATATTATATTATATTATATTATATTATATTATATTATATTATATTATATTATATTATATTATAGATTAGATTATATTATATTAGATT